TAGAGTACATATTTTCTTTTCCAGCCCCGACCTAGACGAGGAGAAAAAATATGCGATGGGGGATGCGGATGGACAGAAGCACGCACTTCCTAAATCTATGAATCTCGAGGATCCTCCTTAAATCTCCATGCGTCACAGTTAATCCTCCTCCCCCCCCCCCTCTGCTCCTTTTCTATTAGGTGTTGGAATTAATTCGTAGCGTTTTTTAATGAAAGAATGTTATTTATTTCACATGAGCATTAAAAAATACATTAATGAAAGTACTTCCCATCACTTGTAAAACGCTACGAATTAATTCCAACACCTAATACATTTCTCAGTTCTTATCTTCACCTTTCCTTAGTCGAGACTTTTTTTTTAATTTTTCAAATTTCTGAAAGTACGACCTACTTATTTCCAACGCTGAACCGTGCAATAAGCGACAGTATAAAATATTTAATATAATATTTATTGTTGTGTAATGCAATGACATTAAATTTTGAAAAATGGTGCGCATAAATACGAGTAGATTATATAATTTTTAATAATTACAATAATGTTAGTTTCTTAATTTTATAAAAATTTGTTTATACAAGAAATTAGAAATAAATACATCCAAAAATAAGAGAGCTGGCATCGTTTCTTTTTTTTTTTTTTTTATCGAGAAGTGATTTCGCGTCGGCATACATCAAAGATGAGCTGGAAAGATGAGATCGTTTGTTCCCTTTTAGTCCGCGAGCCGTAAGCGTCAGCTCGGAATTAGGATAATCGTTCGCGTGTGTTCCGTACGGATTTACCTGGACGTCTATATGCGCGCATCCGTGTGCACGAACGGTGGGACGAACTGCGACGAGGTGCAGTCAGAGGGGAGGATATTGTGACCCTTACGAACTAATCCGGATTAAATTCAAATCCCTGGCTATGCGGCTAGGCGACCTGCGAACATTCACCATGGCGTCTTGCGCCATACGATCGGGCTCGTTACGCCATTTAACCCTACGCGATCCTCCCTCCCAAGAGACGAAACATCTTTTGTGGCGAGTTGCCTTTGAATTCTCACTATTTACGTTCTCGTCAGTGGACAGAACGATGCAGGAGTATAAAAGTTTTGATTTAGTAATCCCCAAACTTGCGATGCAAAACCCGATCAGAAAATATATTCTGTTGGGAAAGACTTACAATGAGTATTTGGCGTACTACAAACTCAAAAAACGATCAGAGGGTTTGTATAAATTCAGCTCGCAGTTTAATTCAAATGTAACTATCCTTCGTTGTGCTTGTAAAAAAAAAAACAGTGTAGTTTTAACTTGTTTTAATTTTCAGAAGTCGTTCTATTATTTATAAATAACCGGGATATCACAAAGTATAAATAATGTTATAATGAGTGAGATAATGTTTAACGAATTCATATATTTTTCACAGTATGAACTGAGTTTACAAATTACTGAGAATATTTTAACGCGAAGGCGCATTTAATTACAAAGGCTTAGAAATATATTTTGTTTGTGAACACACGTGTAATAAAATTATATATTTTTATTTAACAGAATATAAAAATAACAAAGAAAAGAAATATAAGAAAGCTTTATAGAATACAGCAAAGACGCATCGATTAATCGAATTGTATTGAAACAAAATAAAATAGTAATATTATTTGCTTCAAAAACATCTAATATATGTATATAATAGCAAATTTAATATAAGTAAAAACTTTTATATTGTATCAAATTGTGTATTAATGCGTATGAATTGTAGCATAAAAAACTGTTATCTTCCCTCATTTTTCTCACGATTCAGAAATGATTCTTTTATAGCCGCCCTGTATACGTTCTAGCTTTCAACCTGACCACGCGTTAAGCCAAAGGCAAAATCGATATCATATCTCGCAGAGAGCAATCGTGGACCATATTGCGAATGGTTATTTCTCACATGTACAGAAATGCGTGTGCGCATGTACGTCTTTATTTTTACTGTTCTTACATTTGAGTTTTGTCCTACATTTAGCTTATCGAACGCAATCCTTGCAAGACATTACAAAGTCTGATTCTTACGATGCAAAGGCTATCGACAAAGTAAAGCAGTAATATCCGTAAAAATACTATTCACGCTGCATTCAAATTACAAATTGCTTCTTTTTTAAAATTACAAAGTATATCTTATAATTTTATTTAATTTCCTATTCCTACTTTTGTGAAATGTCGGTATATAAAACGTACCGTGCACGCTTTTATATTTAATAGCTTTTGTTTTTTCGTTAATTCGGATATAACTTTTTTAGCAATTTTTGGAGCGAATAGTCTTTTAATGAATATCCTGGTAAGACCAGTTTCGAGACAAACTTTTGTTCATATATTTTAAAAGTAAAAATTTCTTTTTAATTCTGATAATTAATATTTTAACATAATGAGTTTGTCGTGACGCAATCTGAATAATGAAGATTGTAATGTAATTGCGGACGCAACGAAACTTTAAACCTTACTTAAAAATCACTTACAATTAAATCTCTTCTGTGCCTGAGTCGCATTATTCGTGATGTCATCGGTATCTTAGATAATAATAGATATGTCCCACATAAACGTTGTAAATCAACGTCTATTGTTATCCTGATTTTTATAATCTCGATCGTACAATTTCTTTAAAATTTCTTTCAAAATCTTTAAAACTAAGTATCCCAAACTTTCTACGTAACATTTTCATTCTCTATTAACAAATATTTCAAATATCAAACAAATATTCGTTTTAAATAGTACGCAAGATATGGAAGGTATTGATTGATGCAATAAAACGTCTATGAAATTTTGATAAAATTGAATCGTCGTGATTGGACATCTTCATATTCTGACTAAATTTATACCCTGTTGACAATTTAACGAAGATCAATTTTATATTTTATTTTTCCTAAAGACAAAAATTGATCGGTAAATTCACAAAAATCCTTCATTAATCTCGATACGGCTTTAATATCGATCGACGACGCGCTCGAAAATCGGTACTTTAAGCG